CGCGACCCTCTCCTCCTAGCCCAAGGGTCCAGGCAAGGCCTGGGCTCCCACCTCCGAGAGAGTAGGCGCTTTCCAAAGGTAAACTAGTCTCTCCCTAAACCCAAATCCCAAAACCGAGGGCAGGAGGCTGTCCCTTTCCCCAAGATTCCACTGCCCAGGCAGTCCCAGCACTGGAGCCTGGGCCTCAGTTCTATGCCCAGGGCAGGCGGCGCTGGCTGTGATGCTGGTTCCCTCCCCAGACCACGTTGTCGCAGTGCCGGTGCTGTGCTCTCTGCCCACAGTGCAGACAGACAGAGAAAAGGCGGGTGGTCTGAGCTAATATCTATTTTCTGGCTGATGTCCCCCCCTTCCTCTATTTCTCCACCCTCCCTTTCTCCCTTCCTCTCTCCTTCCTCCGCCCCTTCCCACGTCTGCTTCCCTCCCCCAACACTGCGCAAACAGGTCGGTGGCGACAGGAGGGCACCGAGCTTCCCCCCCAACTGCCCATCTTGTGTGCCCCCTCTCCGCAGCTGGCACCCCTGCCCAGATCCCAGCTGGCACCCTTCTCAGCCCAGACCCCCCCGCACACTTATCTGCCTCCTCATCTCCATCCTAGGCCGGAGCCTCTCCCTTTCGGGCTCGTGGTCGACGCCCCAGGATCTCTCTCCTAAAATGGCTCCCCGGACACTGCACATTGGCCCTGCGGTCGCTCAGGACCCAGGGAAGACACAGGGGCTCCAAGCCGGGTTTTTATGTGTGTGGGGATGTTCAAAAGTCTCGCGGATCGGGGTGGGGCGCAGGCAACACGCCGCCCCCAAAGTGGAACCTGATGACCGCCAAAGAGGGAAATGGGGAGGACGAATCATTCAAGTTCAACGACATGGCGACGGCGGCTCCAGGCGCGAGCAGCGCTTTGGCTGGGGAGGGTGAGCCATCTGCAAAGCCGTGCGGGTACACAGGGGAAGAGGGCGGCGAGCCCCTCTTGGCTAGTTAGCGGAGACCCTTGCCCTCCCCCACAACCCAGGGTTTTCGTTCCAGTCCCAGCCCCAGCCCGCTTCGCTCTTTGGCCCCAGATCCCTCCTTGGTCCTCCCCCCCTAACCACCAAACCCAAGGAAAACCGCAGCCTCTGGACCCGCGCGTCCGGCTCGGCTCGAGAACCTACCGTGAAGACCCCGGCGCTGTGGCCTTGTCCTTGTCTGCGCCGCCCCACCCGAAACGCAGGGAGCAGCGCACCAGGCCTTCTGGGCGCAGCCAGCAGCTCGGCGAGCAATAGCTTTCCGCGCAGCGCCCGGACGCGATGCGGTAATTTTGAGCCACCCAAGATAAGACACTAACTTGACCTTAACTTTGTCAGGGCGCCCCTGGTATCTGGAGAACGTGAACAGACACTGTCTGGCAGCTCTCTCGTAAAAGCTGACTGGGGAAGGGATTCTGAGTCATTTCATTTATTGCCACTACAGTTCTGCAAGAAAGCTTTTCCTCCCTGCCAAACTTTAATTATTTATGCTCTTTTAGGAAACGAAAGAAGAGAAACGCGGGGAAAACACCCAGAGCCAGTCCCTTCTCTACAGAGCCTTCGGAATGGACTCCTTAAGTCAAGCGACTGGAGAACAAAAATGTAGGGAGATCACCTTTGTCCAAGGACAGTCGGACGGGCGCCGCGCTCTACCCCACCACCACTGAGGGGGGTGGATGTAGCTGCGAGAGGCGGGTGAAGGGCCCCCCAGCTCCCCCCTCACTGTGCAGACATGAATATTTACAGCGATTCCGGATTTCTCCTCCACCCGCACACATCCTGGAAGCCTCCCCAGCCCACCTCCCTTGGGGAGAACCCCCAGGCCTTAAAAACGTCCCCCGTCGCCCTCTGAGTTCGCAACTGATTGAATGCCAGACGAAGCCATTTTTTCTCGTTTTAAAACCTTTTTCTTAGTCAAGAAGCCTGCGTGGACTGCAATGTTTTCGGAGGACGCATTTTTCTTCCTGCGAGGGAATGTTAAGCTCTCAGACTTTAGCATCATTTCTCTCAGGCGTTTGTTTCTTACAAATTTCCTTGTGGTTCCAAATCTCTGCCGGAAGGAGATACCGCCGTCTTTGTGTGGACCAGGAAAGGGGATAGATTTGGAAAACATGCTGAACTCACAGACGCGATTTTATACTTAGAATAATTTAATTTTCGTTGGGGAGTGCACTCTGTGGATATCCCCTGCCCCCACACATCCCAGGCTAAAGGGAAAGAAGAGGATGATTTAATGGTATATTTTGGAAAGAAACAGCCTCTGTATGTTGTCTTAGGGCCTGGGTCTAAGTCTGGTTTCCTGGTCCTTTTCCCAGCCCTCCAGACCCGAGGTCTCAGTGCGGCTTCCGCCTTTGTTCGGTTGTTTTCAAGGAGGCAAACCTCTGAATGCAGACTCAGACTGAGAGATCCGACTCTGGGTACCACCGCCTCCATGAGCCCAGCCAGGTGGGGAAACATTTCTAGCCACAGGGCCCTGGCAGGCTGGTACTTCTTTCCCATGTATATGTGTATGTGTGTATGTATATATATTCATAAAAGCAATTAAAATTGATTTTTCATATATATCAAATTGGCTTCAGGGAAGGGGAGTTGAAATGTTGAGTGCTTGGTCTTAGAGATTTAGAGATTTTGCTAATTCTCCTAGCTAAAACCTAGTTTACACTTCCATCAGCTAGGAGCTGGGGTTTGCAAGAAGTCTGGGTAGGTACCAAGCAGGCCCTGACTTTCCTGGACTGAGCTAGAGGCTCCCACGGGCTATGGTGTCATAAGGCTGCATTTCCCAAGGGAGCCTCCTGGGCTCCTGGTGGAGGTACACCAGGGTCATGAATTTTTGCAGGGTATAACCTGTTCCCAAGAAATTGACCAAAACTTGGCAGAGAGACGTTTTGTTTTGAAATCTGAAGAACCTCAAATCCTGGCAGCCCCCTTAACAACAAGCATTAAATTTTGAGAATTTAGGCAAAGTACAGAAGCCCCAACGCTGCAACAAGCTCAGAGTCTTCTTACTGTGTGAGACACTCACATCTGCCTATGCCTCCCCACCCCCTACTTTGGATATTTCATACATATTTCGTTCATAGGCTTTTACACGGCATTTTCTGACTGCCTCGGAAGCCATTTTCTCATGTAATGAACACTCAACACCTGCGGTGAAACCACAAGCAAAAAAGAAAAACGAATTTGGTGGCTTGAAAAAGACAAGGAGGAAATCCGGAGCATTTTGAAAAATCGACATCAGCCCCTTGACGGCTTGGCTGGGACCTGGATATTTATTTCCACTCAAAACATTTCTATATTGTATCTGATGTATACAAGCTACTGTTTTTGACAAAATGAAAACAAAACATGCACAATAACTATTAGAGAAAATGAAATTAATCTAAATATCAACTGAGGTCAGTTGGGCTAAGGCTCAAGACTCCTTGCGAGGTGTGCACTCTAGGTCTAGGCCCTGGTCCTCCACTAAAAAGAAATCATTGGACTTTGGGAAAGAATCCTGAGCTTAGGCTGCTGTGCATTTTGCTAGGAGTTGGGGGTCTATGTGCCACATCTCGGAAGGAGAGGGGGAACAGGCAGGGACAGTAGAAGCTTTGTGTGTGCGTGTGTGTGTGTGTGTGTGTGTGTGTGTGTGTGTGTGTGTGTGTGTAGGCTTGGATTCACTGAGGTTAAGTCTGAATACCCCAGCACACCCAGAACAACTCCATCTGGCATTTGGGAACCCCAGCCTCTACAAGGCAAGCCTGGCAGGGCTCAGGGCCTAGAAGGTTCCACTAGGGCAGGCCAGATATACCTCAGAAAGGGCACAGTGGCTGGCCCTTTGGTGGAGTTGGCCAGTGGTAGAGAGAGGATGAGAGAGGAACTTCTGGTCCTCTCTGGTGTCAGAAACAGTGACCTCGGCTGAGATTTGGAAAGGTCTCCTTCCCTACCCCATGATGCTTAAAAAAAGAGTTTTGCCTCTCCTTGCAGTGGTCCATTAAGATTATTGAAGAAAGACTGGTTCAATACCTTTACCCACCTCCACTGGAAAGCTATATTTACAGTCAGAGTGTAGGACCTCTCTTCCCTTTAACTCGCTCTCTTTCTCCTTCCCCTGGATATCTTTCCCTCCTTCCTGTGCAACTGAGCCTCAAAGCAGACCAGCAGCTCCCCTCAGCAGAGCTCAGCTCTGGGGGTCCAGTTACAGGGTGGACCTGGCCTAGGCATGGTCTCCCTCCCCTAGGTGGGAGAAGGGAATTTTGCCAGTCCTGTCTGGAGATTTCGATTTGCTCTGGAGCCCAGCCCCCTCAACCCATCTCTGGGAAGGAAATCTCCAGCCAATTCCATCCAGCTAGAGAGGCCAGCCCAGCTTGCATTCCAAGGTGTCTCCAAGTTTGCCCAGCCACCCAGCCCCTCCCAACTCCTCCCCACCTCTCCCCTTTCTTCTGGAAGTCTGAAGGTCTAGGGCAGCTTTTATCATCCCAAAATAGCCAGGGCAGACAGGAGAGGGGACGGTACCCTTTCCTTCCTCCACAGTGAAGATCCTCGATTTTTCCACAAAGGGCTTCTTTGGCTGCAAAGAGACCAACTGCAAAGAGAAGGAACTGTAGCCACAGCTCTTTTCACTCCCTCTGGAGGCCTTCCTATATTCACTTCCACTAAGAGCTCTAGCTAGGTGCCTGCCAAATGCAGAAAGGGCTGAAGAGGGGTAAAGGGAGAAATAACCACGAGGAAACAAAAATCCAAGTATAAGGGAGCAAAAGTGAGCTGTGGGTGCAAATGCCCCAGCCAAGAGCAAGAACAGGTGACCCCAGGTCCCCACGTTGCACTGTAACTCGCCAACGAGTGTCCCCTCACAGCTTCTCAGAGAGAGGGGAAAGCACCCCGAGGCCCAACTGGCCTGATCTCCAACTCTCCTGCTGGCTTCTGGACCAGTGGAGGAGCCGAAAGAAAAGCCCCAAAGCCCAGATCCTCCTCCCCACGCCAGGCCTCTGTCCAAAATGGCCTGGGCCTGCGCCATACGCGGGGCTAATAGAGCGCCAGCGCCTGCTCCCGAAGCACCACACGCTTCTTCTTCATGCGCCGGTTCTGGAACCATATTTTAACCTGCTGATCGCTGAGGTTCAGCCTGTTGGACAATTCCTTGCGCTTCTGCCGGTTGATGAATTCGTTGACCAGGAATTCGTTCTCCAACTCCGCAATCTGCTGCTTCGTGTAGGGTTTCCGCTTCTTGCGGGCCCTCCCCGGGGCCGCCCCCCACGGCAGGCCTGCAACACAGCCCCAACCCACGTCAGCCCTCCCGTTCTCCGTTGATCGCCCGTCCCAGGCAGTTCACCTCCCTTCTACACTCTCCCCTGCATCCCACCACCCATCCCGGCCCAAACCGGCCCGGGGATCCTGGGCACAGTTTACCGTCGGGCAGTGAAGGTCGCAGGCAAGAGGCAACGCCCGCTGCCTGCACTGTCATGTTCAAGTTGAGCGGGCCCTTGGTGTCGTCCTTGAAGCTGGCGGCGCAGGGGGCCCCCTGGAGCAGGGTCGCGGAGCCCGGCGCGGCACGGCCCACACCCGCGTAGTCGTACTTGGCCGCTTTGAGAGCAGCCACTGCAGGGCCCAGGCTAGACTCGGGGGCGAAAGGTGGCCGGGTACGGCTGCGCTCCTCGGGCCCGGAGGCCGCTTCGGGAGTAAAGAACTTGGCCTGCTCCTCAGGTCCGTCCTTGGTTGCCGGGGGCTGCAGGCCGAGAGGCCCGGAGCCGGCCAGGTAAGGCTGTGAGAAGCCACCGAAGGCAGTGGCGCCCGCAGACTGTGCGGGGGCGCACGAGGCGGGCGTGGCGGCCCAGGGCAGCGCGCCGCGTGGGTATGAGATGGGGGGGAGCGCAGCCAACTGGCCGCCATTCGGCCGTAGGTTGGAGAAGTAGAAAGAGTCGGGCGACTGCAGATTTAGAAGCGAGCCCACATAGCCCGCTCTGTAGAGACTGCGCTCACACATCTCCAACAAAGGGCTTCGGCTGCCTTCGCAACAGTATTTAGTTACAACCGGGAATAAGAGGACAGGCTCAGACGATTGGACGAAACTTTGCCTGCAGGTTCTTCAAAGCCGGTCATTTCAGCACCGCCTACATCCCCCGACCCGTTTTTCCCCCCCTTTAGGGTATTATGATAACACCCGCAATGTTCGATGGCGAAGGACAGGCTGCCGGCAGAGCCAAGTCACGTTGAGCGCAGGCTAAGCCTCTGCGAGTTTGGGGGCCTGGCTTAGGGACCTGGGGGCATTGGGCAGAGGGTGCCTTTGTCCAAGTGTCCCTAGGGACCCATCGTGGTCGCAATTGGCTTTGTGATCCGTTTTCCGCAGGCTATCTGGGCCGGGCTTGCTTCTACCGGCTTTAAGTTGTAGCTGAGGCATTTTTTTCAGTAACGGGCGTCTCTCGGCTTGTCCGGAGAGAGCGCGGTCTGGCGGAACCATGAGCTCTGTCCCTAGGCCTGAGCAATGCCACTCTTATCTCAATCCCTCCCATAGAAAGGCTCTCTCAAAAGGCCTCTGGCCCTGGGGATCTGGCAGCAAAGCCCCACTAGCTGCTTCAGCCCTCAGTTCCAGGCCGCAGACACAAGAAAGGCATCACAAACTCTGCCCATTTGGCACCCAGGAAGGTTTCATACTACCCCTGGTGTGTGTCCCTATGGCCAGGAACTCTGATCCTAGGGAAGTTGCCATCCAGGTCCATCGAGAATGCCGGCCAGGGAACCCAGCAGCTTGATGCGCCAATTGTGGCCAAATGCTACATTCCTCTTATCTCCAGGAGTCACTTTGGTGACAAAGTCCTGCACATCAGAACTCCAAGGCGTCCATTCACCCCGTAGAGGGCAGAGCAGGACGAATCCCCCCAAACGGGTGTGGATAGGCAGAAGAGCCAGGGCCACCTGGCCGGGGAACAGCGGGCGCACCGAGGCAGCGGGCTAGCAGCGTTCCTTGCCTCAGCGCCTCCAGGCAGGGACACTGGCGGCTAGCGAGTTCGCGGGTCTGGCGAACAGGGAAGCGGGAAGGGCAGCAGTCTCTCACGGGCAGCAGTAAGCGCAGACCCGGCCGCAGGCCGTCCTGTCTAGTTGTACCAGAGGACGAGCCGTCCTCCCCTTCTGCCTCCGATCCCAAGATCCCTAGAGACACGGTGACGGGCGCCAGTCTCAGCCTGCAGCAGGCTGCTGGGTCCCCGATCCAAGCTGGAATTGGTTAGACCGCCAACTCCTGCACTGAGACCACACAGGCGCCGCCGGAGGGCAAAGCTGACCACCGGGCTGCGACTTTATTGTGTGAGTTATGGCGACCAATTGGGCGGCTCTGGGGAACGAGATAGGCCTCTGGGGTGGGGGTGGGGAGGGTGGGGGTGGGGAAGTCTGGAGCTCCTCTGGGCTCTGCCAGAGTTTTCTTAGGAGTTCGGGCATAGAAAGACTCTGCTCCCCTCCTTTCATGGGAGGTGGAGGTAAGACAAGCTGCACCCCAGTTCCTAGAGACTTAGGGGAACAGGCCTCGGATACCTACTGGCTCTTATTTTGGAGAACCTTCCCTGTTTTGGAGGAGCCGAGGCCAGCCTTCAGGTCCCAAAGCTTCAGCATCCAGGGGTCCTTGTAATCTCTGCTCCTAAGGTCTCAGTGCACAGCCATTCCCCGTTATTTCCAAGCCCAGGGGTGTCTCCTTCGGACCCTTGTGCAGACTTACAACAGCTGTTTGCCCCTTGAGACTAAAGGAATGAAGGAATCAAGTGAGAAAAAGAAAAGACTAAAACAGCTGGACTCCCCCAATTGCTCCTTGCCCAGCCGCCCCACTTCAACCCCCGAGTTTATGACTTTCAAGGTCTGGCAGGCAAAGTTTTATGCGTGGAGCGGGGAGCTGAGGACTGGGAGGGAGGGAGGGCGGGGAAGGGTAGGGGTGGCAGGAGGCTTGGCCAGTGATTTGAGATAATAGTAAAGGATTTGACCTAGGAGCTAAACAGTGAGCTCTGCCAATGCCGCCAACCGCCCAGGAGATGGCGAGCGCGCTCCATGCCTAGCGAGGCGCAGCCGCACGGTCAAGATCAACAGTGAAGGGCGGTGCGGCCGGCCTGTGGTCGCCAGCCCGCGCGGTCACGGCCCGCTTTCAGGAGCAGCCGAGCGCCTCCGAAAGCCGGAGATCGTGTCGGCCAGGCTGACCCCGACAGCAGAGCCGGAGGGACCCGGCTGACTGCCTAGACGTACGGAAGAGTTGCGGTCACCTCTTTGTCTGGCCTTGGGTCCAGGCTCCAAAGCTTCCTTCCCTTCTTGAATCACGCATAGACACGCGGGCCTAGGTTCCCCGCCGGCGGCGCTAAAACCCTGCTCAGTTTCTGAGGCGCTGACCCTGAGGCCTGTCTCCAACCGAAGTAAGGGCCTCTCACCAAGCTTGCTTCACCTCCCGGGCTCCCCCCGCGGCCTCCCTTTCAGCTACTTCTGGATTCCTCTCCTCCCTTCGCAATTTGGAATATAAAAGGAACGCATATAAAAAACAAAACCTTCATCTGTTACTGATTTAGCCGTCGATCCAAATTCCAACAGGGCGTTTGAGCAGTTTTAATCTTCAGCAAACCTCCCGTTTCTCTCAGGCGGAGGGAAACTGACGTGCAAACTGCAGATGAAAGGAAAACCTCGAGGCAATCTCCCCTACTCATGAGGGGAAATCCGAGAAATGGACTTGGGAAATGGATTGAGGCCCTGGAGTCTGGAACTTACAAAAATAGTGTGTAGAGGGTGGACGGGGGGCGGGGGGAGGATGGCGATGAGGGAAAAGGAAAAATATGCCCAATTCTGATGAAAACACATCTTGTAAGAAAATCAACGAAAATGTTAGAGACCATTCCCGAAGTGTAAGGTCCGGGACGGTGTGGCCCCATTTTCATGGGTTATTCCTTTTCCAGAAATTGAATCGTGGTCATATCTCCCCCATCACTCCCTTACAAAACGAAGTTGGCTGTCCACAATCGGCAGTAAGATATGAAAGAAGTTAAACTGGGCCAGAGAAAACGAAAGTAGCTCCCAACCTTAGGTCTCTGCGCTTTCTCTCTCAGAACCATAAAGGAACTATCCCGCTGGAAGAATTTACATATTATGTGAGGTATTAAAACTCAATATTTAACTAACTTACATATGAAAAATTAGCGACCACTAAATTGATTGTGTCGGAGCTAACAATGACAAGTCTCCCAGTCCCTCAGCAGCCATTTCCCTGAGTGGCAAAAAGGCCTCGTAGTGCCTAAAAATTGCGCCTGGAAGTTGAGGTTGTGTAATTATGTTTTCTATTGTCAATTGCTGTATTCAGACTGTCTGGAGAAGGCGATATGGAATAAACCTCATGTGTTTTTTTTCGATTGCCAAATATGGGTATGTCTTTCTAATTTGAAGACCATTTTAGCCCACGTATTTACAATGGCCTTTCTAGGTCGAAAGCTTCCGCGCAAGAGTTTTCCTGTACTCAGGCACACAAATACACGTGGATTTAAAAAAAAAAAATAGAACTATATAAATAAATTGATAATACCGAAAGACAAGTAAAATTTTATTGGAGATGTTTTTGGACCTGGCCTGGTAAAAATTAATCATTTGAAACACTGCAAATTGCATCCTCTGTTTGAAGATATCACTAAGTAAGTTAAAGCCACAGGGAAGAGGGGAGGAGGCAGAAGTGAAGAGCATGAGGTTTCAGAGACCAGAACCGGTGTTTCCTTCATCTATACAGAACATCATTGCATTCAGGATAGCAAGATTTTGTAATAAATAAGAATAGTTTCTGGAGGAAGAACAAACATGAAAAAAGAAAACAAATGTATAAGGCTCAGAGGAAATAAGAAAGTTCTGTTTATTTGCATCTCCCTAGGAGTAAAAAAGTGATTTTTAAAATGCCTGAAGCACTGCCCACATATCCCAGCTCACAGACATTGCAACTACAAAAATAATTTCTCAATTGTATAAATATGCAGCACTTTAAAAGTAGTTATCATCATTTTCAGAAACATCTTTTTTTCTTCTTGGACCTTATAGCTCCACATTTCTTGTATTTGTTGGATGTTTTCAAGCTCCACAAGAGGTCCGATGCATTTGGTCAGTCAACTTCTTCATAGAGTTGTGGACGTAAGTTCTCACTCATGGCCACATTGATTCAGCCTCTGAGGATTGAGATGGCCTCAATCCCAGTTCCACACACCCAAAGCCAAAGAAAGGGGTGCATTTATACCATCCATTGGTCACTCCATCAATTGCAACCATTAAAAAACCTGCATATAGAGCTCAAGAAATGAAGGCATCCATGAGGACACATTATTTTCAAATTAAGGATTATAAAAACACAAACCTACAAGGTGTGCTAAAAATATACAACTAAAACAGCAAATGAAAGACTGAAAGTTGGAAAGATTGTCTTCATTCTAATGTCAATGCAAAACCTACTTAATAAGGTAGCTGCTTTCAAAGCCATCGCAGCACCTTTACCCTCTTGTTTTCAGACTTTCCTGGTGACCCCAGAGCACTGCCTGCCTAGAGCTGTTTCCACTTGCCTCAGGGCAACTGCTGTGAGCTAATGATTCAATTACCTAATTACAGGATATGAATGACTGCAAATCGTTCTGCCCTAATGGATTATGAAGATAATCAGTGCTGGGAACAGACATATAAATTGATTTTAAAAAATAAAACTGTTAAATCAGAATGGCACTTCTGAAAATCATTTGGGGGGATTATTCAAAAATACTTCAAGTCCTTTATACTGGCCTGGAGGGCGAAACAGAACATTAAAAACACCTTTAAAAATAAACCTAGACAAGAACAAAACCAATAATAAACAAATAAAAATCAGAACTACGTCAGATTGGGCAGCAAAAGGTTTCAGAGACAGATAAGGGGAGAGAGGAAAACAATTCACAAAATTTGCCATCATCGGCATGGGATGGGGGAATTAAATACATATTCAAGTCTTTCCAAAGGTCTTTTGGA